GAAAATGTAAGTTTCGATGGATTATGCTTTGATTTTTAAAATAAATATTCACAATCCAAATATTTTAGGTAATCGTTGCGTTAAGAAAATGGATCATCATTGCCCATGGATAAACCATTGTGTGGGTTGGGCTAACCATGCTTATTTTTCATTTTTTCTTTTCTTTTCCATCATTGGAAGTATTCATGGTGCCATAATTCTAATGTGTTCCTTCTATCGTGGTATACATCGCTATTGGTATTTAACCCATGGTTTGTACGATTTGGCTAATGTACAATTCACTATGTTTACATTTGTATTGTGTATTATTGCTATGGGCTTGGCAATTGGTGTATCCATTGCTCTAACGATGCTATTATACTTCCAGGTATAATATTATTTTAATTATTAATAAACTTATTTAACTTTATTCTTAATGCCTTTTAAAGCTTAAATCCATATTAACAAATCAAACGGGTATTGAACTGTGGATTATGGAAAAAGCTCTTTATAGACGTAAATTTAATCCTGAGATACCAGAGTTCAAGTATCCTTATGACTTGGGTGTACGGCGTAATATACAACAAGTGTTTCAGAAATCGTGCCTAATGAAAGGAGATGGCGTTGAATGGCCTGTTATCGATGGCTGCAATCAGTACACGTTAACGGTAAGTTGTGACTTGATGAATTACTTTATTATGTGCAAATAATTGTTTACAATTCTTTAACACGCCTCCTTCCTTTTGCGATGTACTTGAACACAGCGTGAACAGTTAGCACAGAAATTCGAAAAACGTGCACGTACTAAATCATTCAAATGCATACGTCCAGCAACAGGTCGTATTTTACCACTATTTTCTCAAGGCTGTCGTGTTTGTATGTCACCGCCGTGTACGGATGAACCTCGTATTCGTCTATTACCAGGTGACGTTATAAAAGTTACACGTTTTCGTAAGCATTGGCTATTTGGAGAGCGCGTTTTGGAAGACGTAAAACTAAATGCAAAAAAAATGAAGCGTAAAGGACCCATACGTGGTTGGTTTCCAAGACGATGTGCCATTGAACTGATTACACCAGATCATGTGTCGGATTCTGACAGTGTTGAAGATTTGGATAATTTAAAAATATCAAAAAAACTAGTAAACGATTTAAATGCTAAAAATCATAATGCAAATAATGGCAAAATAAAGGAACAACAAAAAAATGGAAAAAAACGCAATTGATTATAGTTGTCTTATGTATTGCTTATATATATGATGGTATATATTTACACCTTTTAATATAATTTTTATATGACTTTATAATTAAGTACATAATTAATAAACATAACACCGTTGAAAGTAGTGTTTAACATAAAAAAATTGTATATTTCGATAGTTTTATAATATATATAACAAAAAAATCAAAATATCGTTAATAAAATTTATATAAATAACAAATAAAAATTTTTTTAGTTTTTATTTATATTAAAAATACAAAAGAAATTACTTTTAACAAAATCTGATATAATGTACACCCAAATATGACGAAAAACGAGATATAACGACCGTTTCATAAAATCAAATTTGGTTTGTCATTTAATCAGTTTTTGTAACCTATTGTAGTGATATCGATATATCGGTTATTTCCATAGTATTTTTATAAAATTTTAGTTCTGGTTGTAATTAGTTATGGTTGACTAAATTAAAAAATATTGTCAGTCCTCTTTCTTGAGAATTTGAAAAAAAATTAGTACCATTATTATAAAAATTTATAACAAGTATCAAATACAAAATGCGGTGATTTATATCCACTCACGAAATAGATTATAATGATTATAATAATAATAATGTATAACGTATATAATAATAATAAATAATAATATAACGTTTCTTAAGCGTAGCCTTCGATACATGCTCATCAGTGACGATGCGTGTCCTATCTGGATGTACCGCTTAAATCAAAAATAATAAATTGAAATAGATGAGATGTTTAATTAATAATAACTATATTACATTAGGTCACAATATATTCATAATATAACATTCAACAGTTCATTAACAAAAAAATAAATTAAATAAAGGAAATTATTAATTTATATGTATTAAAATTTAATATTATATCAATATGGAATATGCAGAGGACAAACAAAATAGAAGGCACTCGAAACGTATAAATGTGCGGCCAACTACTGCGCACACCTAGTGGCAGAAATTCGTGTGTGCTACTACTAAGACGGGAGATTCAAAGTGTAATAGAAATGTACGGTAATATAAGCTGCAAACTTTAGCGCACACCTAACCGCTTCTGGAAATCAACATGTTTGATTCATATGCATGCAGTTCATATTCAAATAGAGCAGTATAATTATTCTCATATATTTCTCACTATTATAAATCTCTATTTCTCATATTTTATGTGAGAGGGCAGACAGATTACTTCGTTCAATCTACTGTTGCGCACATTTAGCGACAGAAATTTGAATTTACATATTTTACTTAATATTTTGCAAATTATGTAAGTTTAAATAAACTTTTATCTCCATCGAGGTATCATTTAAACTCAGAGTATATAGTCAATACTTCATATTCGAAACAAAAATTAGGGATTAACTTTCCCAGTGGGTGAATAATTTGTCTGTAGTATATGTAAAATATATATGTAATTCTATTAATATAATTATAATTTTTATTCTTTCATTTTACTGCTTATAACGATTTTCATTTTTTAAATAAATATAAAATATATATAAATAAATATAATAACTATATAATAATAAACATAAATTTAAATTTATCTGTTAAAATTTATTAATCCTTTTTTTAGTCTATCTCTCTCTCTATATCTGTGGTTCTATCTTTCTTTGTTTTTTTATCCTTCTCTCTCTTTTTGTCTTTTCATCTCTCTTTCTCTGTCTTT